ATTTTATATTTGGATACAAAATTAACTTTTCTGGCTAATTTATCCCCGCTTCCTACTGTCTTTGGCTTCTTTATTTTCTTTTTCTTCACACAAAACATGTGGTTACCAAAGGAGTGGGATCTGACTTTGTTCACTGGTACACTCCTAACTCACTGGAAAAATGGAGGCTGGAATGAGAAATTAAATGCCCTCTTTTGAAACAGGAATAGAAAATTACACAAAAGCAGAAATTAAAATTAGTATTTATCCAGAATGCCAAAAAAAGAATTGTAACATTGACAATGCTAATAATTACAAGCATTGTAAAATCTGTAAAACAGTATTTTATTGCTGCCTGACCCTCTTTTCCTCCATTTTAGTAATGTTACCTTTGCTTGCCTCTTCAAATTATAATAATTTTGTAATATAACTTTCTATTAAAGAGAATAAGAAAATTTTTCTGTCTTTTCTCTAGCATGGTTGATCAAATTTAAATCACTGGAAGTTTAGAAAACCCTTTCAATCTCAAAACGCATTATTGCTAATGGCTTGTGTGTTTTTAAATTGTTCTCAAATACAAAAAAATGCCTGTGAGGCTCTTTAGCATATGGACCATAATGTTTAGAAGATTATTCTCCATAGAAACTTCTGCTTTATGCATTTCAAATGTGTTCTTCTCCACCACACACACCTCCAGGCCTGGGAACCCCAGCAAGTGGGAATATTGCATCACAATCTCTGTCCTTGCCTCTCTTTTTGGTGGGGGGAGTGCTGGGAATTGAACCCACAACCTCGTGTTCGCCGGGCAGGCACTGCACCACTGAGCTATATCCCCAGCTCATGCCTCTCCTTTTCAACGTGGGATGACTTTGTTCAGTGGGCAGTAGGAATATTCTGGAAGCCATTCCTACACAAGAGACCATAATAACCTAACTATAATTGGCAATAACTGAATATCCTACAAAGAGGTCTCAGCAATCCTATCCTGAATGTGTTTCTAACTCAACTTCCTTTAACTCAGTTCCAGAAATAGCTATACTGCCCATCATGACAGAAAAAACTGGGATGTAAAAAACACTGCAGCTGTAATCTTTTTCAGTTAAGACATTTTACTTTTGCAGATTTGTAAACACATGCCACTGTGTGAACACACTGCCGAGGCCCTTCCCTGAACCTTATAAAAGATCTGTACAAGTAAGAGGCCCTGAAATTCAAGCTTTTCCAGCTTGGCAGTGAATCTACTCTGCTAGCCCCAAATAGTATCTATAGGTACAAAATAAACATCCAAAAAATTTGTCAAATAGTTGAATGAATGAATGGAAAAGTACTTCTTTGTGTTTCTTCCATAGAATTGTTAAAAGTGTCTTTCAAATTAAATTGGACCCATTACTATAGGTTGCAGTTATCATATTAAATCTGTGCTAATTATCTGAGTGAGTTATCTGTTCCCAGTGCAGAATGTGTCAAGGAGATTTATTAATCATCAGTACAGATATACTGACTCTTCCTGATGGCTTTCTTGGGGAAATGTCACAGTTCTCTGTAATTGTACCACTCCATCAAGTGCATCTCCTCACAAGTATTGAGTCAGTTTTGGGAATGTCTCATTGCTGAAATTATGGAATTGCTTTCTTCAGTGGATATATTTGCCTTTTTATGAAAGACAAATAATACTCGGTGACATTTAACTTATTATTTTTATGACTTCTGGAGGAGTTGTCTAAAAGTATTAATGACATAACAGCTGGAAGGAGCTAAAATTTTTGAAGGTCCGTATTTTCCAAAGGGGGTGAAAGTATAAACTGATTTAACTCTTAATTTAAGTGTTCTTTCTAGAAACAGATTACTGTAGAAAAGGGACTGGGTGATGAAGCGGAAAACCTCATCTTGGACAGAAGTTGCTTAAAGTCCTGATTCTGAGAATGCTCCTTTCATTTCCTTGCCTGAGGTTTCAAGATCAGTCACTCTGCTAAACAAAAGTACCTATAAAAATCAAATGATCTCTTCTAAGACCGAGCTCTGAACCTACATTTATGTGCTGTTGGAAAACCGTGTGCCATTTTTTGGACCTAGAGACTTTTTTACATAATGCCAGAAATCAAAATGTTTCCTGGGGTGGGGGATTTAGTTCAGCGGCACAGTGCCTGCCTGGCAAGCGCGACGTCGTGAGCTCGATTTCTGGTACCAGGGAAAAAAAACAAAAAAAATTTAAAAAGTTTTAAAAAAAATGTTTCCTGTGAATGCTAAGTTTTTCCCCTTGGCATTGAGACTGAGATAGTTGAAAGGCCTGGGGACAGCTGTGTCTACACTGACTAGGCATGTATAGGAGTGTGCAGCCTTGCCTGATAACACATTTGTAACTGAACATGGTGTTTTCAATTTGTACAGAATGGTTAGAATATTCTATTAAAGTTGTGAAACATGAAAAAAAAGTTATGAGGCAAATGATAGTACATTGATAGTGAAGTTGTGGACTTTCTTCTAGGTTTTCTTGCACATGTTAATTTAGGGTGGTGAAATTCTGTAATGTCATGCATGGAAATACTAAGCCACCAGTGGATCCATCAACCTTGAATTAAATGCAGTCAGTATGTGAACATTTACATGATTTTCTTCTTCAAAATTTGTCACTTTTTTAAAATTTTTAAATCAATGTTTGGATCTGATTGGATTATAGACAGTAGCAGTTAGTACAAAAAGATAAATGCATGTATAGCTATCCATTTTGGATATGCTGCAAAAAGCAAAAAATACTTATCGGTTTGCAAGTGGGGTTTTCTGCTAAGTGATGTGTGATTGATTCTAAAGCGGTGACACTTCGAGGCACTGTGTCTGAGCGTGTTACTGGCTCTATGATTTCCCAATTGCTGTAAAATCTTTTACGGTCTCTAGCAGATAATTTGCTGCTGTGCTGCTGTTTACTAAAACTGGAACAAGAGGAGAATAAATCAGTTTAAAAGGATTAAGAAAATGAATAAAAATGATAGGCTGCCAGTTAAAAAAAAACCCCATCACAGTGTGTGTTTGTTATAAGTAGCGTAGGGAAGTCGTGCTTTATCAGGGAAGCACAGGCATATTCCAGCATGGTTTGAACAAAATAAAGATTTTTTTTCTTAGCATCATTCAATTGGTATAATAAGCATTATTGATTAAACTGTTAATATTAATAAAGATTTAAAATTGGAGTAGAGAAGACCTTACAGAGGGAAAAGGTGATGGTCTGCTGAGTAGGCTGGCTATTAAATGCTTTGTAGAAAACTGATTTTTTATATACATGAACTGTCAGTTATGCTACTGGGCCTTCACTGGCATAGACTACTATGCAGCCTGCGTGTAAACCTGAAACAATATGCATTGTTGCCACACTCATATGTGAAATGTTTGTGAACATCATGTAAATCTAAAATGAATTAGAAAACTTCAGCCCATATAAACACATGTTATTAAAGCTCTCAAAAGAATGATCTGTAATGGTAATGAGGAAGTTTGCTTTTCAAGTAACTTAACATGTTTCTCCTTAGAATGCAGGTTTATATGACATGTATCGTAAGGCAGTCCTACCTTGTCATTTCTTTCGAATACTACAACAATAATGTTTTAAATCACTTTCTCCTCTTTTTCTTAATTCACTATAATCTACTGAATTATTAGACCTGGGTGTTACAGCCTTATAAAGTACGCATAATGAGTTAGATATTCCTTACCTAAAAATAATGGTATCATTTTTGTTATTTATTACTGTTATTTGTAGGAGAAAATACTAGGTAGAACTAGAAAAATACATGAGAACACCAAACCGTAGGGTGGTCAGTGTGGAAATAAAGATGTATCAAATTACAGCAACTCAGTATAACAGAAGTATAACAAAACTTAAAAAAAATTTCAAAAAAACATTTAAAATTAAGGAGCATTTTTAGGAAATAGATGCAAAAGCTATCCATAAAAAATCCAATTCAGAGATCATTGCCTAAAAATATTAATAACTAAACACAGGGCTTAAGGGATGCTGGGGAGAAAAATGTGGTGGAACATAAAAGAAGAAGGAGGGGAAAGAATAAAGACTCACCAGGCCCTTACGCTTGGTCAGAACACACCTGTCGGGTGGCCTAGGGCACCTCATTTGTCTTAGCCACTTTCTCATAGCTGGGACAACACATCTGAGCCACACCCTGAGGGAGGAGAGGCTTGCTTTGGCTCACATCCTCAGTCCCTGGTTGGCTGGCTCCAAGGCAGCAAGGGTGTGATGGAAGGAACTGGCGGAGCAGAGCTGCTCAGGTCTTGGCAGCTGGGAAGCAGAAAGCAAAGGAAGGAGCCGGGGAGGGAGATGGGCCCTCCATGGTCACACCCCAGTGACCCGCATCTTGCTGCCAGACCCCACCTCCCAATTCATCAGCAGGTGAACCCCTGGAGAGGAACAGCACCCCCAGTATCCAGCCACCTTCCAAAGTCTCAGCTCTGACATAGGAGACTTTGGGGAGACGGTCCAGATATATACCATAACAGCATCGCCTGACAACTCACGACGAGGTTTTTCTGTGAAACTTAAAGTTTTTTAGACTCGATCCAAGAAACACATTTTTAAAATGAAACCTCATCTTTGTGAACGGTAATTTCATTGTCTGTTTTTCTAAGATACAGGTGCATAAGTGAAAGTCTATGAACTACGCATGTGTAGAAATAAGTGATGTCATGAAGTCGTTCTCTTTAAACTATATGAAATGTCAATAAATAATAACATGTAATGAAATTTCTTGTGATTCCAGTGATTTAATTTTCCATGGAGAAATCTCTCTTACAGACCTAGATTATTATAGGTTACTCTTAAATTTAAACTCATAATTTGTAGTTTCAGTAGCGTTCCTCTGTAACCTTAAGCAAGGGTTCTACGTAGAAAAGTCAGTGGCTCATTGTGTAGCCACTGATTTGGGCTGATTTTGGATTTTGAAATTAGTAACACAAACAGTCTCAAAGGACCTTACTGGAAACCGCTGGGTCTGACTTGCCTTTTTCTTACCGCACAGGTGCACCCTGAGTGTGACGCTGGAGCAGGCCATCATTCTAGCCAGAAGCCACGGGCTGCCTCCTCGCTATATTATGCAGGCCACAGATGTCATGAGGAAGCAGGTAAGTCTCTTGTGCATTTTAGGGGAGTTATTTTACAGGACCTATTAAAGGTTCTTCTATTCATTTACTGGGTGTCTGACAGGTACCAAAATATGATGGGTACCTTTCTAGGCACATGACTGCCAGGTGAGTGATGCAAGAGAAACACGCTCAATGACAACGTAGGTGGACACATGGAGGAGGATTCCCCAAGGATCTTGCATAACACTGGGAAAAAGATGTCTATGCAAAAACCTAAAAGAGTATAGGGGACAAGACAGGCAAAATGGGACAAGAGTGGATTGGGGGAAGGAGCATATGTAAGGGACAAGATAAAAGACATGTGATATTTTCTGGGAATTGTAAATATTTAGTAAGCTTCTGCAAATAGATTGGGAGAGGGACAATGGCAAGGAAGAGGAGGAATGAATGAGGCCTTGCTTGTTTCTGTCAGTCTCCCCTGTCCCAGGCTGAGTGTGTACGTTACTCTGAGGATAAAGCACTGACCTTAAGTTTTCCTCTGGAGGATGCATAGCAGGCTCTGGACTGTCTTTAGGTTATTGGAATATTTATAGGTGAGACCATGCTTTCATAAGTAGAATGGACTTTCTATACTGTAACCCAGGAGCATTTTAAGTGCAATAGCTGAGATTTTAGCACTTAGAACACTTTTTATATTGTCAGTTTATTGATTAGTAAATGGATTTAGTCTAGTAAAGAGCATAATGTATACAGTGACCAAAAAAATGGAAAGATACCAATTTGGTATTTTATTCCATCGCCTTTGCTTTGGGCCACCACAGCAGCAAATCTGTTTGCTGGCTTGGTTTGACTTGTATGCTTTTAAAATTATGACTACTTCATTTGCCAAAAACCTAGCACAGCAAATAACTGTCATGCAAACATAAATCCCTTTGAACTTGCTCACAAGATTCCACCACGCATTGTCAACCAAGCCAGTGGAAAAATATGTGTCTCGGTTACTCTTCTCTCTTTGCTGAGACAAAATACCTGATGTCCGAAATGAAGGAAGCACAGGTTTATTTAGCTCGCAGTTTGTGGAGGTTTCAGTCCATACTTGACTGGCTCTGAGGAAGAGTGGCACATGGCGGAGGGCAACAGTTCATGGTGGTGGAACACAGCAAAGCAGCAAGTACAAAAAAGGAGGAGTGGCGGCAAGCAGCCTCTTCCTCTCCCTTACATATGCAAAACTATCCACCCCAGGGCGGGTGTAGCTCTCACACCCATAATCAGTCCAACTCTAAAAGCCCTCCCCATGACCACATGAGGCTTTGGGAGGACACCCAGACACAAACCATAACAATATGTCAGCTGAAAAGGCCACCGTCAAACCAGAGTCTGCAATGAAGAGATGGATGCAGGGAGTGAAATACATGGAGGTTTCTAGTTGGGAACTCAGGAGCTAAAGATGGACAGCCAAAACGTAGGAAGGGTTTGCTAAGTAAAGTTTAAATCTACCAAAAGCATGTGGCAAACTGCCCTTCAGTTGGCAAACACATGTGTCAGTTGCCAAGGGTTTAGGGTGGACGGGGGGCGGAGTAGATGTACAAATTCTGCCTTAAAAATAAGTCAAACTAAACTTGCAGTTATTTACATCAGATTTGGGGTATGGGTTGCTGAGACAGAGAGAAAGAGATTAAGCACTTTTCTATTTTGCTGTGTTGCTCTCAGAGTAAGTTTGCAAGAAGGCTTTGGAAGAACCATCTCAAAATTATGGCTAAATAGCAGGAAAACCAGACTGGAACTGTCTTTTCTTTAGAATATTGCACCAAAGAGGTTATAATTCGGCTACATAATTTAAAGGACTGAAAAGTCATGTAGTTTTAGGTAAAAAGAAAGACAAAAAACAAAAACAAAAAACCCTTTCTGTTATCTAAACTATAGTATTTATCACTTTCTTCCCCCTAATTTCTAAAAAAAAAAAATACATTTAGAATAGGTAATTTCTTCCTGTGTTGCCAGTCCCTGGGGTCCACGTTGTACATCCCTAATGGCGGTAATAAAGCAGTAGTCCTATTTATAACTTCTTTGTAAAAGATCATAGCAGCGAAGTCCTCTATCTGAAAAAAGCAGACTGGTAAACAGCAGGTATTTCTACAATAGCTGTTACCACCAGTTTTCTTCCAGTATTCAGCAACATCAGCAGGAATAACTGCTGGGATCTTGTAGTCTTCAAGCTAACTCTGACTCGCTTAGGATCTGAACAGTTAGAATACAAATCTGAATCAAGTACCTCACTTGGATTTTATGTTCCTTTTGCCTTTCATCTGTAAGAAAATTATTTAGCCATTTCATTCCACTTTTCCAAGACTAAGCAATCAAAGTATTTGCCATATTTACCATATATTATAATATCTTAATTTTTTATTAAATTTGAATTACTGTATAGTACATTACAATAATTTATTTGCTATGTATTAGAATTTATAATATATAATGAATATTATTAATGAATATTATTAATGAATAATATAATGAAGAACTTTAGTTTCTTTTTAAAAACAAAGAGCTTTTGGCATCATTTGTTGTTATTTATAATTTTGGTATTGCTTTCATGTGAAGATTTTGTGTATATACATTTTATACACATAAGCAGCATTTTTACATAACCAGCTGAACAGATAACAAAAGGCCTTAGTAAATCTTGGAAACAGCCCAAATGCCCATCAACTGAGGAATGGATATAAAAGATGTATTTTTATACAATGGAGTATTACTCAGCTATAAAAACCAGATAAACTCAAGTCTTTTATAGATAAATGGATGCAACTAGAGACCATACTCATAAGTGAAATAAATCAGACCTGCATATATAAACATCATACTGTCTCCATAGTATAAGAACCTGAAAGAGTAAATAAAGTGCAAAAGGTACAATAGATATTGTGAAAGGGAAAGAAACTGCTCAGTGGAAAGCACCTGGGATGAGGGAAAGGAGAAAAGAAAAAAGGAAGGGAAAAATATATACATCTATACAAGGATAGCTGGGATAATTGTACTGCTGATTTGTATTGGTTTATTGAAAGGAACTGTTAATGCTCAAATTTTTTTCTTTTTAATTTTTTGACCAATTTTGCATGCTTCTATCTGGTAATATGAACAACTGATTTGAAGACAGCAATATGCAATATAACAACCATTGTTGAATTCCTATCAATCTTGTTTAGTGAAATTCTGTATCGTTCCTAATTTTTTTATTCTCTTTAAATAAACAAAAAGCTTGAGGTAGAAACTGTAATTTGCATAATAAACATCGCTTTATTTTTATTATTTTTATTCTCTTTAAATAAATAAAAGAGTTGAGGTAGAAACTGTAATTTGCATAATAAACATCACTTTCCATACTACACATGATATATTCCAAATGATCTTTGGTGGAATCCTACTTAAAAATTTCTTCTTGACTTTTGTTATAAAAACTAAGTTTCCAAAGTATTGTGACTCCTTACTTTCATTATCAAGCTATCATGTTAGTCACTAAGGATGAAGACAGGGGAGCAGTGAAGTCCTGACTTAGCTTCATGCACACATGTGTAGGGAAACTGCCACAATGTAGGCATTGCTCTACAGTACCTACAACCTCAGTGTATCAAGATGTGGAACAGGGAACAAATGGGTAGTCTGTGAGCCCTTCAGTGGCTGGGACACTGAGTCTTATTCATTTTGATGTCCCAGTTTCCAAGGACAGTACCTAGTACAATGTAAATGCTAAGTGATATTTGTTCAATGAATTAGTTTTAAAAAGGATAACTGGGAAAAGACATCGTGCACTAAGTGGGTATTTGATAAGAGCTAAGAGCACAGTGCCTTGAGCCAAGCAGACTCAGTATGAATCTTGGATGCTTATTACTTCAGTGCTTATTACTTACATAGCTTGCAGCAAAGTTTGAGCTTTTCTGTTCCTTATTATTCCTTATGAAGTTTTCTTATTATTATAATAGGCATGGTAAACAGTACTGGCCATCTAGTGTTGTGAGGATTAAATAAATCAATATATGTAATGCACTTAAACTTGATATGGTGAATGACCAGTTATTAGAAAACTAACATGATTTTTTATGTGAGCCTTGGATGATAAATATAATGAAGACAGAGAGGAAAAGGGGACAGGAAAGGTGTTTAGGTAGAGACAGCAACATGAACATGGATATAAAAATACAAGTAACTGACATATTTAGTATATGAAGAATTATATAGATAAATTTAAAGTAAAATGTGCCACTAGATGTGTTCAGCATAAGAAGTATCACATTTCAAGAAAGAAAAACTCATATTACACTATGATTAAAGAAATAAGAAAGAAAGAAAAAGAAAGAAAGAAAGAAAGAAAGAAAGAAAGAAAGAAAGAAAGAAAGAAAAAGGAAGAAAGAAAAGAAGAAATACGAGAAGCCAGAGGAAGAAGTTACTTGTTTCTGTTTTCCCTTTGTCTACTTGCTTTCTTTTGTTAGACCCATCTTGAGAGAATATATCTTTGACTTTTCTTCTTTGCCTCTTATAAACTGGAAGAATTGCAGAGTTTCTTGAGGAACTCTCCTTCATCTATTCTAAGTCATAAAAGCTGACTTTTGGTTCTCTGTAGTAACTAATTTTCATCAGGAACAGAACAAAAATTATACCTTCATTCATGAACTTGAAGTAGTCTGGAGACTTTTTCATAAAGATTATCTTTTTAACTATAGACTTTGAGACAAAATTTTTCAATTTCAGAAAGCCATATAGGCATGACTGATCCAGAAATTACTGTAGAACTATTTCAGGAAATATTTTCTTGTTAAGTATAATTAAGTTTAAAATATCTATTCTAGGAAAAGCAGGTAGAGACTACGATAGAACTCTGATTTCGGTAATGTGCAAGTGGTAACACGGATGAAGTATTCATAGCTTTCTCTTTCCTGTTTTTAGTATTTTTAGTTTGTAGTTGTTTCTGAGAACAAACACAGACTAGAGGAGGTAGTGAACAGGAAGCTCTTACTTTAATTTGAATGATGTGTGTTGCTACAGAAATACATGTTAATCATCTGGAAAAGCAAAGCATATTTTGATGCGTAAAAGCTTTGATTTTGAAAATTCTCAGGTGGTGATTTCTCTTTTACTTCTCCATCCGGTCTCACATGATGTTAAACATATTGTTGGAATCACTGTTCCACACACAGATTTTAATGGTATGTTAAGTAGTTAATGGAGAATTACAAGTGAGTTTCTTGGCTTTCAGGGAGCGAGAGTTCAGAACACAGCAAAGAATCTGGGAGCCAGAGACCGGACTCCTCAGTCAGCTCCAAGGTAAGTGCGTCCTCAGGTCTGCTTTTTCCTGAAGGGTGTGGCAGCGTCTCCCAGCCTTGGCAGTAGAGGATAACGCAGCTGTCTTAGAACATGCCCTGGATCACACTGATGGTAATCATGGGGATTGCCCTGCTAGGTACCTAGAGGCTCAGGGCGATTAAACAGACATGCTGTCACATTTCACTGGACATTACTCTACTTTACAAATTCTGTCATGAATTCAAAATCAGAAGTCCACACAGGTACAACTCAACTTTGAATCCAACTGTGAGACTGCCAAAGTGCCATTCCCATTTATCCTTCTATTTTGACACATGTTCTTTCCTCTGCTGTGATTGTCTCTTCCATCTATGTCTACATGGAAGACCACTTGATACACAAAGCCCAGCTTATGTCTCACTTTCTGCCTGGAATCTTGTTTGAGCTTGTTCCTTTCTGGCTTCCTTTCACCTTTTGGGTGTTGCATTGTAATAGCCCTTACTATATTGTGTTGTGCTATTTCTTACCATATTTCTTTGTCCAACTTGAATATGAATGCTCAGGAAACATAGAATGTATTTTGTGTTTTATTTATTGCTTACAGCATAGTGCCTACATAGTAGACATCAAATATTTAAGCTGATTTTAGGAGCATGTGTTTTACTAAATCAGTCAATCAGCTTTTGGTTTGTTATGCCAAACGCTGACAGTTCACACTTCATCATAAGAAAGAAAGAACTCTGATCCATCTTTAAAGCAAATGAATACAGTGATCAGGCACAGAGGAACGTTTTCAGTTTGACTTCCCTGGTGATTAAGGTAGGCAGCCATCTAGCTTAAAGTGGGTCAAAGCTAAGCAATTTCTGTTGCATTTTATTGCTTTTCTACATTCGCATTAACCAAAAGCAGGCTCTTCCCAGCGCTGTCACAGACGAGACACACTGTATTTGTTTCTATTTACGACACCATTACCAGGGTGAGAGTGATGACTGCAGTGTTTATGAAGTTATATTTCATTCTGAAAAACTATGTGGGCAGGGAAAGTGCTTTCAAAAGGGAAAACATATTTTCCCTGTGAAAATGGATGAAGCACTCGTGTACTAGCTGCATTTATTTTTCGTGCTGACTCCTAACTCTGTTTAATCTTCCAGTCCTGTTAATGTTACCTTTCATAGCTGATTAGATTAGAATCTAAGACTTTCCATTGCTAAAGAATAATATCACATAAGCATTCCCTTTCCAGTGTCTTGAGCAAACATGGTATATTTGTATAATAGACCCACCGAAGTGTTAAAATTCCAATAAGAAAACAAAATAATGGTTCTGCAAGGTGTTTTAGCTAGAGCTTCTGAATGCTGATAAACAGTGGGTTGGGATAAGACCTCAGCATCCTGATCAATAAACCAATATGCAAGCTGAACACAAGAAAAGAAAACTGATGAGCTCACACTTCTCTTTATTGGGTAATGTTTAAAGTTCTTGACATAAAAGACAATAAAATGAACCAGCTATAAAACTAAGTTATTTTACAAGAAAATAATAGCCTCAAGACAGAAATCAAGAGAAATTTAAATTTTTTTATTTTATTTACTCTTTTCTTCATTCTACAAATATTTATAGGGGACCTAAGAAATGCAATGCACTCTGATGCTGTGCCCCAGAGAGAACATAAACCTGAGGCAGAAGTATTTCTGGCCCTCCAGGAACTTTCATTTAAAGAAGTGAAATGAGGAAAGCACCACTGTAGGAAAGAGAGAGTGTCAGATGCAGTCTGTGGAAGCTGTAGATATAACGCCAAGGAGAACAACCACCATTCCTGCCCCAAAGACAGGAGGTGAAGTCACATTTGGCTCTCAAGAACAAACCATCTGTAGGTAAAGCCAATGTAATTAATGTTGCTGGAAGTTACAGTTATGGAAGTCTAGAAATAAGCACAAGTTGTCGTGAAAACACAGAGGAGGGGTGTGACATGTCCTAAGGCCGGAGAAGGGAAGTCACAGCATACTGTGGCTCTGTCAGCATGGTGATGATGTCCTGTACAGCAGATACACTGACATGCTGGGTAAAAGAACTCATCACTTTCTGAGAATTCAACTTCTGTGACTGGGGGTTGAGTGTGATTTAAAAGCAAGGCAAAGTGAAGCTGACAGCGTAGACAGGAGCAAGTAGACTTACAGGAGATCCTGAAGCATCTTCATTTAAACTAGGAGACAGTAGCGAGACACCACTAATCTCTCTATCAGAAATATGTGAACTGTAGAATTTATCTTCAGGAACATTAAGAGGGTCTGTTTGAGGACTGAAGTTAAGACTGAAGAAAGGGACATGAGATCATGGTAACACTAAGAATGAAGATGAGGAGGCAGAATTAAGAGTCTTTGGCCCCTAGTTAAATGGAAAGAGTTGGGGAAAAGGACTACGCTAGGATGACTGCAAAATCTTTGGCTTAAATAACAAGGGATTAATGATTCTTTCCCTGAGACAGTGGATGCTGGGTGGGGGGACGTGCATTGGATGAGACTGATGAGCTCAACTTGAGTTAAGATGGAGGACTGAGAGTGTCTATGTGGAGATGCCCTTGTGGGCAGCTCAATGCACTGGTCTGAAGTTGAGGAGAGAAGTCTGTGTGAAGCTGTAGTCCCATAACTCACATTCAGGAGTTCATTGAAGACCTAGAAATGAATTTTGTTACATGGTAAATGGGCAAGAGAGATGGGAAACGTTGGGAACACGGCCAGGGAACCACGAATAGCGCAAAGAAAGCAGAGGAATGAATTGATGGAATGACGATATACTGGAGAAAATGGAGGAAAAGAGGAGGTAGTTGTTCTTGAATTCAGGAAGGACAAAGTGGCCATAGTTACACCACAGAAAGAGGGAATATGATCATTCAGGGAATCAGAATGTTGACTAGAATGTTGGAGTTAGGAATTCGGATGTAGATTGGTTCTGGGTCGTGGGTTTCCCGGACATCCTTGATTCCATCACAGTTTGCAAAGTCCCCTTTAATGATTGGCTTCTGTAATATGCGTCAGGAACTTCTTTTGGCGTTGGGATCTCAAGGTGGATGGACAAACTTCATATGTTCACAGAGCTTCCCCCTAATAGAATAGCAGCACACAATAAATCTGAGCCATCAGGTAAGTGTGTGCAGTGACAGAACGGCAGGAGCCTGGGGCAGGAATCAGTCCTTCCTCTCTTCTCATTTTCAAATATGTGTTGGCTCTGCAGAGATCCTACGCAAATCTTCATCAGGGCCAAAACGTTACATGTGAGATACGGAATTACTAATGTGGCACATGGGCCTTGTTTTCTGTTATGTTACAAAATTTGCAACTTCTGTGCTATTAAAGCCTTATTTTTTTATTTGTTTAACTGGGAAGCAGTATACCACAGTGGTTAAAATGGGAAAAAAAAAATGGTTTTAAGTCCCAATTTGAGCTCTCTGTGTGACCTTATTCAGTCAGGTGTATTTTTTTTCCTCCCTAAGACTCAATGTTATTCATCTGTAAGATGGAGAGAATCGCTTTGAGACAGGATATCACTGGTGCTTTAACCTTCAAAGAGACATTTGCTTTGTGGGCTCTTTCAGCACATCTTGTATTTTTGCTGCATAGAAGATAAAGGACATAGCCTGTAGTATGAATTTGAAAGATCTGTTCTCCATAGGTTTGGATCTGAGCTACAATGTCAGCTTCACAATGGCTGCCTGAGCCCAAACAGGGACAGGAGAAAGTGAAGCGAAGAATAACCCTCGTTCGAGGGGCATCACTGGCGTGTGGGCAGCTGGCCCCAAATGCTGGGCAAACAGGGGCCTCCTACTGCCCAGCACTTTGGCTACCAAAATAAAAATGCCTCGATGCACAGTCAGAGTCCAGCTCTTTACCTGTTCCATTTTGCTTCCCAACTTCATCTGCCTGCTCTAAATGCCCAAAGCTCCACAATCTCCATTACAAATGTGTCTGAACTCACATAACCCTGAGTCGCTTCCAAGAAGCCTCCCAGCAGCTAAAGCTGCCCAGCTAAAGCTGCAGTACCCAGAGCTATTATTTCATTAGGTGATCGCAGGGAGTAGCCTTTGCTCCAGTTTGTAAGCAGACATTCCAAAGCCTCATCTACATGGTGGCATTAGTTACGTTCTGTGGAACGTGCAGAGCAAGGTAATAGCGTGTGGTGGCTTGGCCCAGAGCCCACTGCTTAGACGTCGCCATTCACTCCCATCGCTGAGCTACTGACTAAGGCCACTCTACCATTTCACTCATTAGGCAGCGTGGTCAGCAAAATATGCGGATGAAAATTACAAGGAAAAAACTGATCATTCTGTTATTCCAACCCCAGGAATGCAACTTGAAGCAGCACCATATCTTTCGGCTACAAAAATACCTGACAAGTACATCATCTCAATTTAATATGTTCTTTTCTCTGTGAAATAAGCTCTTTTGATGTGACGTGTCCTTAGTTCTGTATTCCCCTCTTCCATAGAGATAACATGTAGAACATAAACCGTGTTCCAGACTTGAAGTACATTTTGCAAACCTTCAGCAGTAGCAACTTCTGTTTCCAGACAGAGAAAGTTCGTTTCATTAACCAGATTTACAACTCAATATTAAATCTCTCTCATTCTTCCCCCATTGATTTAGAATTAGCATGAGATTAAATGTCAAAAGGAGAGGAAGTTTATAATTGTCTAAGTTGGTTAACAGTTCATTTAAACTGTGTTCAGTTTAATCTGTAAAAGGGAGTGAGTCACCCCAACTAGCCCTGGATTTTGATTGCTTTTTTCAAAAGATGTGGAAGGATGTTGCTCAGTGGTAGAGCACTTACTTGCTTGCCTGTGCGGGGTTTTAATCCTTACACCAAAAAATAGGTAGAATTCAGAGAATAGCTTTTACTACCAGCAAAGTGAACAGCTTCGGCTGCCCTGGAGAGGAATAGTGGGTTTTTAAAATGCAGTGTTGTTTAATCAGTCCTCATCCAGAGAGACAAAGAAATAGATGCTTTCTAAATTGGAGGACTAAAATTTTAGAGTTTGCTAATTCATATATATTTTTAGTAAAATAAACAATGTCATCATGATTTATGGAACCACAAAATTATTGTCAATGTATTTGTTCTACCAATAAAAACATCTCAGGTAAGGGCAGTCCGCTGCATCGCTGTCAAACTTTCTTGTGTCTTTTTTAGGCTGTACAAGCTTTGCGAGCCGCCTCCCCCCGCTGGAGAAGAATGAAGGGAATTACCAAGGAACCAGGCAAGCAGAAGCTCCTGAACACCGGCCTGGACAAAGTACATGCTGGTGCAACATTTCCCACTGAAGCTACAGTAATGTGTTGTTTCCCTCCTGTTGTAAATAACTAATGTTCAGTTTGTACTTGGACATGTGTGCTGGAAATGTTCATTCAAACAGTTCGCCCTCCCAACTGATCTCTCTGTATACTGACATTAAATATTAATTTATACAGCAGAACTCATCTCTGGAATTTATAGAAAAGATACCAGAGATGACAAAATAACTACGATGTGTCCCCTTTCTTTCAGTAATTTATTGTGTTTGGCCACATTGTAATAATGGAAAGTTTTGCTTGAAGAAGCCAGTCACTGAGGAAAGATGGCCACACTCTGCAAATCACAGTGCACAGATGTTAAGGACAGTATAGATGGGGCGATACTGGTGTTTTGTCCCCCACTTGGGTCAGAGAAAAGCACATGTGCAGAGGTGGAAAGGCATGCTTCACTTTTTCTGCTTCACAGGAGAGAAGAAGAGATATGGAGACTCCCGGCAAGATTTCTTTTCTGCTGCTTTCTGGCGTACTTAGGGCCGTGGGCAGTCCCAGTGAGCTGGCTTCGGGCCTGGTCTCTATGATGGGCATGGCTCCCTCGGGCTGTAGATACTGCGCGCTGCGCCATTGGTGGCCGTGGGTGGGAAGTGGCAGAGACTGGGAAGGGAAAAGGAAGCAGAATGGGTGAAAAAAGAGAAATATAAATCTGTGTAAAACTCAGCCTCTATCTTAGAAAGATACCTAAATTCTTAACTTCATGAAGGCAGCTTCTTCTGTGAGATGTCAGGCTCTTAATATACCATCATGAGTGTTTTTTAATCAAGGTATATGTGTAAGAAAAAATAAAGCTTTATTTACTGTACTTTAAAAGACCATTACAAAGCTTGATCGTTTATGGACATAGGGGATATTCTGTCTTCATTCTAAATACATGTAATGCTTATCATTCTATATTGATGTAATTGTGGATACATTAACATGGATTTTAAATTAATAATTTTCAAAAGAAAAAAGATGGTAATAACTAAAATCATGCTTTACTTAACCATAGGGATCCACAGGGATAAATAATTTCTGAAAAAATGTGTCTTTAGGCAATTTTTTGTGCACACATCATACAGTCCACGTAGCTAAGCTAAGACAATATCATCCGATAATATAAACTATGGGGCCGTTCTTCTATGCTGTCCACTGGGACCACATCACTATGTTAAACATGACTGCACATGACTTGAAACAAAGTGTGTTAAATACTGTACGTAACCTTTGATTGTTTGGCCCATCTCGTGTTGTTACTGTTTCATATATCCTCATAATAGGGATGTAAGATAGTATTTTTTATTACCCCCACAGAATGAACCAGTGATTTAAACAAGCTCATATGACTAAGAAGTGTGACTAAAATTTAAACCCAAGAATTCTGCTTTCATAATATGTTATCCTGAGTATCCTTAGTAATATAACTATTTTAATAGAATCACGTATTTTACTAAAATTGATTAGCATACACTGCCATTTAATTATATATTTTGTCTTTAAAAACAAATGGAAATCTATAATATGCCTTTAATATATGAAAATTATAAGATTTCCTGGAAATTTTACCATTCTGTATATACATTTTAAAATAACCTAACACTACCATAACCTAAAAAAATATTTTATGTCATAGTTCTCATAATTAAAGATGACACTTCTAGATAAGAATTGAAACTCTGGAATAGTGCACCAGTTAAAACTTGACTACAGTTCTAAAATAGTGGTAATAGTAAAAAAACATCTAATGGATCAGTGAATAATAACAAAATATTAATACCATAATTTATATCCTTATGGCTTTGTACATTTAACTGGGCTTGAGTTTTTAGAATATGTTTACCAAAATGTCACAGTTTCCTTTATAACCAGTGTTCTTTCAGATGCTGCTAAAGCCTAACTGTTCATTCAAGTTCTGAGTCTGGACAACTGCCCCTCTCTACCTAAATTGGAGGTCCCACATTGAAATTTTAGATCTGAACATGAGAAAACTCTGAAAACTTCAATGTCAGTAATTCATAGCCAATACATCCTAAGAATTCTATAATATCTGTACATGTTTCTAATATTAATTACAAATATATAAGTTTATATAATTCAAATACCTAATTTATAAATGATATCAATTTCAAATGTAAATTTTAAAATATGAGGAATTTGAATGTAGAAATTTATATCAACTAATTATTATGAAAGAGAGTGAAAGACACAATGAAAGTAATCTCTATGTTAATCTTTCTGATATTGGATATGTAATATTGAATTGAGTCTAATCTGTATTTTATAAGCCAATATCCTAATCTGAAGCCTCATACTATTTTCTGTCTCTCTAAGGTACCTTCTTCCAATGACTTAGATTTCCTATGCTTCCATTGGCAGTAATAATATTAAATTTAAGAGAAGGTTAATTTGTTAAGATACCAAGAAATATACTACATTGGTTATGACTCTATGAATTCCAATTTTGTAATCATTTAATTCAAAGTGAAATAAAGTTGACTTTAATATTAACAATAAGAGCCAAGAAAATGAATGATTAAATAAATCCTAAAGGTCATATTAACTAATTTTTAAAACCAACTTTTAGTCCTTCCAGCAATATAGTTTATAACCTAGTATTTATTCATTTGGAAGCATTGGCTAAAAGTAAATTACTTAATGTAGTTAAAATTAATACATTTCTATTCAAAATACTAATGAGTTTTTATTAGTGCAAGTATATCTTTTTCTGTGTAGAATAATGTAATGCAGATTAGTAGATATATTTTTATTCACATGTATTTTCATAAAATCATAATATGGAAATTTAAAAAGAATAGCCTTCAAGTCGTTCGTATTTTATGTTTTACTTTATAGGTAATTTTCAGACTTCCTGCACTTCATCAGTAGCAGAAATAAGATTGACTAACCTGTAACATCTGACTGCATTGCTTTGTGAGGCTTTGGAAACTGTGCTTTATTTTTACTGACTTTACGTGAATTATCTTACTAAATTATACTTTAATAAGTCTCCTATAGTGAATAATAATTTTATTAACATGTATATATTAACAAATTTTTCGGACTGGTCAGTTTTGTCCCTTCAGTACTAGGGCAAAAGATTTTGACATGGTTTAGGAGAACTGAGCTTCTGTTTAGCAGAATGTTCCCTGATATATTAAGCATTAGGAATTGGAGTAATGACTGCCAGCACAGCTTTACTCTTGGAAAGGTGGGGAAAAGGTGTGAGGTGGGTCTGTGCCAAGAATGGCCCGGGTGTACAGGTGTTGGCCGCCATCTTCCTAGGTGCTGCAATTCCCCAATAGTCATTATGATTAGTCTTTGGTTTCAGAAAAATGTTACTGCCTCAGAGATTTGCCATTAAGAGTGATCTCAGCATTCACGTGGCCAAGCACCCATTGGCATGCGAAGAAAGAAGGGTTTGTGCTTCCTGTAGCATCTGTTAACTGTTAACAGGCCTGCTTCACTCAGGATAGTTTGTGTCTCTCATTGAGAAGAGATTTCTGAAGTCTACTAAGTGTACTAAAAAGTTATATAGGTGTATGTAAATATCTATGTATATTATATATATTCACTACTTGTGTTCTTATGATAATACATTTTTAAAATTACTTAAATTCTTATGTCTTATTTAATATGAGTAGATGAAAAACGTAATTGTTCAGTGTTGGCACTGCAGACATCAGAGTTGTCTATGTAGTACTGTTAAACATCTCTTGATCACTGGCTTACACTTAGCAAATTTCTGTCACTATAATAAAATACCTGAGATAATCAGTTTATAAGAGAAAAGGGTTGTTTGTGGCTCACGGTTTTGAAAGTTCCAGTCTGCAAACAGTTGCCGTATGGCTTTGGGCTTGTGACAACGTAGCACATTATGGCAGGGAAGTGTGGGACAGAGGAATATTGCTCATCTCGTAGTCAGGAAGCTAGGAGAGAGAGGGAGAAAAGGGCCAGAGTACCCAGGGTCAAGAGTACACCCCAAATGACCTAAGGGCCTCCCACAGGGCCTCTCTTTTCAATAGTTCCAGCATCTCCCAGTAATGTTACCTGGGACCAAGCTGCTGACACATGGACCTTTAGGAGCATTCAGCAACCAAGCTGCAGAACTATTGAATCTAATTCAGTTGATCTGGCTTTGAAATCAAAAAGTAGATTATTAAGAAAAAAAATTTTTAAATTTAAATTACATTTAAATTTAAATTACATTGCTGGAAATAGAAAGCTTTTAATAGTTAATTTTAGATTAAAATACAATAGCAAATGCCATGTATTCACTCAACAAATGCTTTCCAGAATTCACTTTTCACAAGGCACAGCTGGGGATCTGATAAAAGTGTTGAATATGTGTGAATCAGAAGTCTGCCGTGTTTCTGTGTGTTATTGATTACTTGTGTCTCTTGCTTAAAATGACATTATTTGTAACATGAACCTATGCTAATACTGTGTACATGTACATGCCATGTGTAGCCAAGAACACGGAGTTGGTGAGACATTTTAGAATACGTACATTTGAATTTGAATGTCTAATGCTTCAAGCAAATTATTAGTGTTCCAGATGAATATATATTTTTGTAACTGCAAAGCAAATGAATAGAACATAGCCTTTTGCTTAAAAATATTTTTATAAGTACTCATGTACTCTATTCATTATTTTAAACAGCAAAATATGAAAGTGGATCTTTAGTGATTGTTTTGAACATTTCTATATTTAACATCATTTGACATTCACAACTTAATAAAAAAATTTATCTGTGTTAGTCTTTTCTTTCTTTTGTAAAGAAAGAAAAGACTTATCTATGTGACATAGTCTCAATCACTCTATATTTTGTGTATGGTTAAAATTATCCAAGTGCATTATGTATTTTATATCATTCATTTTTGTCTGCATAAAAGATTAGATTAACATTGTACCATAAGTGTCAATAATAATAAAGTAAATTGTAGTGTGACCAATTCCACTTCTTTCCATTTATGTTTAACTAATTTCTCATATAGCCTTAACTGTTTGAAAGACAGAAACAATGAAACACAGATTTTCAACCTTCAAGACTTTGTGAAGATGGGAAGGGGACATGGGGAAGGAAAGAGAGAGGGAATAAAAATGGTTGACACAATATGTGTATGTACCAGTTCCCCAAAATGAATGTAACCATTATGTATAGCTAACATATACTAATAAAAAGAGTTCACAAACTCAACACATGTACGAAGCGAATCTACAAATACGAACTGGAGAGATGCTTACTTTTAAGGAGGAAACAGAAGTTTAATATGGGCCACTGCATAGGAAAACTCCAGTAGAGACAAAAGACTTGTATTATTCTGTGCCAATCTCTTATGGTTTATTCAATGCTCATTATGTATGAGCCACTCTCTGGTTTCAGAGAGTATTACAAATGCACATGATTCTCAAAATGTAAAGTTAAAGAACTTGTTATATTTAAGGTGATTCGTGAGGTGCACAGAATGGTAGCTACCAGCCTAAAACAACACATACTAACTCCAAACAAGAGATAAGGCCATGAGAAGCACACACTATAAAAACTCAAAAGAATTTAGATTTAATCAAATATGAATGTGTTGGACATTTGCAGAATATTTATCAGCTACTGAGCTAAGCTGGATATTTCATAACTAAAAATATGTGCATGACCATTGCCCGTATGGAGTTTACAGTCTAAGGGGGAAAACATGACATTTTAGAAATACAAAAATGATGAGAAAATACTGGGCCAGCAAAGTGGTCAGCTTTCAGCATGAGTAAGATTAAGCAAAACTAAAAGAGAAGCCTTAACCTTAACCAGATGAACATGAGAACACACAATGATGAAAATGAACCAGATATGTCAATGGTGTGATGAGCACATTCAGAGGATAAATGTCCAGAGGATAAAGAGCTGCAGGTGTGGTTAGAAAGATCTATACAGTAAGTGAGATTGGGTCTGGGTGATAGGGGTCTCTGGATGTCAGACTAAGAAGTCAGGAGAGTGGACACTGTGAGCATAAGAAAAAAGATGAATAGTTGATGACAGTGATAAAAAATTATGAATTCCAAGTGGGGAGTTAGGAGAATATGTGTATGTTGTGGATGTGAAGCCTGGCTCAGAAATGTCAAAACTAATAAGAAGTAGGGGAAGGAAAATCAATAACTGGTGTTTGCTTTTTGGAGATTGCTGGTATACTCTGAGATGGTAAGTTTAATACAGTTATAAGAATGAAAACATAGAATCAACAAGCATAAACTGTTTTAGAATAATTTACCAAACCAGGCATGGTGACACATGCCTGTAATCCCAGCACTTGGGAGGCTGAAGGAGGAGAAAGCCAGCCTGTGCTACATAGTGAGTTCAAGGCCTGCCTGAACTACATAGTGAGACCCTGAGTCAAAAAACAAACAAAAAATAGAATGTCTTCCCAATTCTTGTCTTTCAGAAGTGGCTGGATCTAATACACCAATCTCCCTTGCATAGTGTCCTGCCTTCACACTATAGTTTGTACTTCTTTTCCTACTTTATTTGGACCAAATTAGCTCTG